ACGGATCAGCTACTAATGGGCCAAGAAAATTGCTTCCAACACCTCCAAATCAGGCCCAATGCTTCTACTTTTTTTATTTTGTTTATTTAATTTAATTGCTTTATTTTAATTAATTTATTTTCTAACCAATAAACAAATTTCCTTTTTTTTTATCACAAAATCACAAAAAATAATTTCATCCAATAAAATTTTAGAATTCTTTTTTTATTTTTTAATAAATACTAACTAATTAATTTAGGTTTTTAATTCTAGGAAACTTTAATTTATTTTTGTAAATACTTAAAATTAATTAGAAATCATTAGGTTTTAATTCTAATTTAATTACTTTATTTTCTTTCTTAAGATAACAAAAACTCAAAAAAATGTCATTTATTTTTTCTTTTTTTTAATTTTATTAATTTAATTTAGTATTTAAATTAGGGTTTAATTCTTTCCTTAAAATAAAAACAACAAAAGAGCATTTTCTTTTCAAAAAGAGTCAAAACCCTAATTGTGCATCCGATTTAATTTCGCGTCGCGATTTACTTTTCTTTATCCATATTGATGTATCTGTTTCTGGTATGTAATAGATAACTAGGAAATTTTATTTATTTACCACTTTATTTTATTTTATTTTCAAAGGGTTGCTTTTGGCAATGTAAATACCCGACGCCTTGTAATTTAATTTCCGCACTTTAAATTCTGCTAAATATAACTGCTAGATGTTTGATAATAGGGTCTGCATGACAAGACTGAATGCCTAATCTAAAATCAAAATTAGATCACCCTTAACATGTGCAAAGATAAAAATAAACTGAAAACGACACACTCGCACATGCGCACTCCTAGGGTACACCCCACTTGGTTGCCTTCGTACACGGTCATTGAGTATAGGTCGTTTTAGAGGTCGCCCTCTTGTCTAAAAGATCGTAGTTTCCTCAAAACAGTTGCCTTGAATATTGTTGCCTCAAACAAATGATCTAAGACATTAGGGTTACCGCTAAGGCGTCCTAATATTGCTTTGGTGACCGTATGTCCCTCATTCGAATTGACCCTAAAACTCCAACAAAGATGCTACCTACTCATCAATAGTAGGATAGCATTGTCTAAAGGAAATTAACATAGAACGATTCCTTTTTCGAGTAGGTAGATAGCTCTTAGATACTTGCTCATCCAAAAACAAAACTTTTTCACACTTACACTCCTTTTCAAACAAAGTTTTCAAAACACTTCATTACACTCTTGAGGACAGAAGCAAGAGTTAAATCGAAGTTAAAACAAACTTTTCAAAACCCACAAGCACAAAGAAAACATTTTGAAAATGATGAGCAAGTATCTAAGAGCCCGTAGATAACTACGGATAGAAAGGGTGCTAATACCTTTCCTTTCTATAATCTACCCCCCGTACTCAGAGATACTCTCAAAAAAGGAATTTTTCTGTGCTTTTTTTCCTTTCCTTGTTGGATAAAATAAAATTCGGTAGAGACTCTTGCTTACCGCGACATTTTGCGAAAACAAACGCAAAACACAAACCAGCATTCCAAAAACAGTCAGTTCTTCCCACCGTATCACAGAAGGCAATTCTGATGTTCCAATCGAATGACCCTATGATGTTCCAATCAAAGGATACCCTGATGTTCCAGTTGAAGGACACCCTGATGTTCCAGTCGAAGGAAGCTCTGATGTTCCAATCAAAGGAAACTCTGATGTTCCAATCGAAGGATATATCGTTCATCTTCAAATTTTACTTTCCTCAAGCCAAAATTTTCAACCACCCATGTAAAAGAAAATCTTGAAAGAAAATGAGAGGGAAAATTTTGGGGTACAATAGTATGCGTGAGTTTGGCTTGCATATGTGATGTATTTATAGTGGAGAGGGAGGAGACAAGGTAAGAAGGAAAGAAATCATCCCATTAAGCCATGGTTTAAACACCAAAATCAAAATTTGAAAAATTTTCAAAAATGGTCATTCTTGCTCATTTTGTTTGGGGGATGAACCTGGACAGCCTTGCACGAATTTATGGGCCTAAAATCAATCTAAACCAAAAGCCCAAGTGTCATGATCCATCATTCACTATTTTATATAACTTATCTTGTATTTATGTGAATAAAAACAAAATAAATATGAATAAAATAGCTAAAAGATGCAAGGCAAGGTGAGAATGAATTTATAGGTCTTCCATAAGGTTATGAAGATGTTTGAAGTCCAATAAATTAATCCATTGACTTACAAGTTTAAGTTTGCTCAATGCATAAATATTGAAATTTCCAAAGTTTTCCCAACTTGTACAAGCCATAACTTGCTAAATTTTTATCTCATGATGATGATCTTGGACTTTTCGGAAAGCCTAAAATGTCTACTTCAATACCTCTTTTGATCAAGTTTTCATTTGAAAATTTATCTTGATGTAAATGATCATGACAAAAAGTGCCTTTTGTTGACTTTCTGAAAATGACCTGTAATGTATGAGCTTGTATCTTTCAAATGGTGCATCTCTTGATCTTGAGGATAAAATAGAAGTTGTAGGGAATGAGATTCTCTTCAAAATTAGCTTTGGTTGGGGAAAATTGAATGAAGTATGTGAAAGTTATGCCTGGTCAAAGTTCACTTGACTTTTCCTATAGAAACCCTAATTTAGCAATTTTTGACTTTTGATAGATTAGGAGCATTTCTTGAGGAATCATGATCAACCCTTAATAAAATGATGGATATCACTTTAAAATATTGATGTTGACCAAAAATCTTGAAGTTTGATTGTACATGGGCCACATTTGACTTTTGACCTAGTATAGTTGATTTTCCAACACTTGAGCAATTGACTGAGCAAACTTGTAGTGTATGGCATGAAATTTGTCATGGACAATCTTGAAGGCATATTAGGACCATGAAAAACATTTGAGACCTTTGGAGCTCACACATCTTGATAAAAAGTGAAACCCTAATTAGAGGTTCATTGCTTAGGAGGATAATTTGTCTGGTCAATTCTTGGTCAACCTTGAGTAATTGAGGACTTTTAGGAGCATGCCTTGAGTAGAATTGAGAGGGAAAATTTTAGGGTACAACAGCTGCCCCTGTTCAATCTTCTTAAGCCTGAGGATTTAGATTGGCTTGCCTGCCTTTCGTGATCTGAAGGTGGAAGAGGATTGAACACTAGAGTGTCCAGAAATTTGCACTTACATGAAGTAACACTGTTGGTTGATGCCGTCGGGAATGGGCTTACAGATGCCATTTGGAGAAGATGATAGAGAGTCTTCGGAGATGGGCTTAAAGATGCCATCCAAAGTAGATGCTGATTTGACAAATGGTCCCTTTGGGGGTTCCTGTTCCTGCTATCTGAGGAGGAGTCTGTGGGGAATCTGGTTTTCTGTTGTTCTCCTGCTTGAGGAAACTTTGTGGGGAATAAAGTCTAGGAACTTCAGTTGTCCAAGGCTCTGCTGAAGAGTTATCTCTGGATGGATGAAAGTTTGTTGTTTTCTGATTGAAATCCAAGCTTCACAGTAATGTTGATGATTTAATTTTCTTGGGCAACAACAATCAGATGATCGAAGAGTTCAAAGGCACAACGACACAAGAATTTGAGATGATTGACTTAGGCCTGATGAAATACTTTCTTGGTATAGAGGTTCGACAAGAAGAAATAGGAATCTTCATCTTACAAGAAAAATATGCAAAAGATATCCTGAAAAGATTTAAAATGGATAGCTGCAATCCCATTTCAACACCAATGGAGCCAGGAGAAAAGCTTTCAAAATTTGATGGGGGAGAGCGTGTCGAAGCAAACAAATTTCGAAGCTTGGTGGGAATTCTTCGATACCTCACATGCACAAGGCCAGATATTTCCCTGAGTGTTGGAATTATGATTTGTTTCATGGAAGAACCAGTTGTTACGCACTGGAAAGCTCTAAAGAGAATCTTTCGATATGTCCAAGGAACTGTGTCACTTGAAACGTTCTATTCAAAAGTATAAGAATACAAGTTGACTGACTACTCTGACAGCGATCGGTGTGGTGACATAGATGATCGAAAGAGCACTTCAGGATATGTGTTCTTCATGGGAAACACTGCATTCACCTGGCTGTCAAGGAAGTAGCCCATATAGTAACTCTTTCGACTTGTGAAGCAGAGTATGTGGCAGCATCTTGGTGCGTATGTCATGCAATATGGCTGAGAAGATTGCTGAGCAGGATGGAATCGAAACAGGAAGATCAAACAATAATTCAAGTCGACAACAAATCTGCAATCGAACTGGCGAAGAATCTAGTCAACCACGAAAGAAGCAAGCACATTGATGTTCGATTCTACTTTATTCGAGAACATGTGAAGGATGGAAGCATCGAACTGAAGCACGTTGCAAGCAAAGATCAAACAACAGACATTCATACAAAACCACTGCCGAAGGAGCTATTCGACAGAGGCAAAAAAATGCTTAGGCATGATGGATCGAATGAATATTTGAATTTATGGGAGAATTTTATTGGTTAGTTAGACAATTTTATAAAGAAAGAAAGTTCAAAGTCTACTCCCATTTCTCTTCAATTTCTTCATCAAAAACATAAATGAAGTTTGCAATAATATATGCAGGTTTGTAGTAACATTAACCTCTGACAAAATGAACGGATATCCTGTAATTTCTTTTTGGACAGAGGTGAAATTTTATATTATAAATATAACTTATTTTTTTGTTTCCAATCAGTATCTGTTTGTTACATTCAAAGCATTATGAAAAGGTGCAATTTGCTTAATAATAATGTAGGATGAATCTTAAGGTTATGGCTCACCACTTCACCAAAACATTCTGTTGCTTCTAAGTTCTAATTGCCAAGTGACTCTCATGCATTATCAACTGCCATTGTTTACCATCACTGTACTACTTAAATAATAATAATAATAATAATAATAATAATAATATATTCTATTTTGTGTTGTGTTCAATCCTATTTATTCCCAATATGACAAACCCCAAAACTACTCAATTCACTAATTATTCTCTCAATACTAAAACAAAAACAAACTCATCAACATGGCTTCTTCTTCTCTAATATTTTTTACGATAATTTTCTCAATGTGGCTTCTAATTTCCTCCTCAGAGTCCACAGAACATTTTGTTGGAGACAGTACAAGGTTATGGAAGGTCCCTCTTCCATCAGAAGAAGCACTCTTCAACTGGGCTTCCACCCACCACTTCACAATCGGCGATACTATCGGTAACTATTATCCTTCTTTTCAATATCTTCTCTAGTATTGATTCACATGTAAAATATAATATATGTATGTATGCATGCATGCATGCATGTGCAGTGTTTAAGTACAGTAGAAAATTCGAATCGGTGTTTGAAGTGAGCGAACGTGACTATCGAAGATGCATTACAAAGGGATCTCGTCGCAAGGAGTTCCACGGCGGTAATTCGAGGGTGGTGCTTGATAAATTAGGAGCACGGTATTTTGTGAGTGGAAGAAGAACTCATTGTTTGCAAGGGTTAAAGCTAGCAATAGTTGTCATGCCTCCGTCTGCACCTCCGTCACTGTCGATATCGCCACCGTCATTAACAATATCGCCTCCATCGCTGACTCTTCCTCTGGCCCTGCCAGCGTCACTGTTACTGTCACCGTCACCGTCACCGTCACCTTCACCTTCACCTTCACCTTCACCGTCGCCAAATTCATCTGGTAGTAAAGGTGGTGGTGCCAATGAACGTGGATTTATGGTGTGGTTGGGGGTTTCGATGGTTATGACGATGTTGTTAATTTGATAGATTATGTTTACGTGATTTACGTTGATGTGTCTCTAAGCTGTGCGAAGTTGAGCACATTTTCATTTTGCTTTTACTTTTCTTTAATTTCATAGAAAATAATTGTTGATGTTAGTTTCTTGGTGATCAAAATGTAGTGTTATAAAATTCAAGGAGGTGATCGACTCAATTAAGAGGACTCGTCACAATCTCATTAGCCATTCTAATTTTTAGTATTAAAATGTCACACGTTTTTTATGGAATTTATTTAAATAGCTAAAGATATTAATTTAATGTAGAGAAAAATAAGAGAAAAACTTGCATAGCAACTAATCTTTTAAAGGAAAAAATTCAGTTGCATTTTTTTAGATGTGGTTTATATTTTTTTTTAATGAAAATATGATAAGTGTATAATTTCTTTTACACATGTGTAATTTCTTCTTATTTTTACTCTCTAAAAGATATTTAAGTATATTTGTCATATTTTATTAGAGAAAAGTATGAATCACGCCTATGAAATTGTATCTAAGTATTCTCCTCTTTTAAAAACAATTAATAAGAAGTGAATTTTTTTTAAGTTTATTTAAAATTTAATTTATTTTTTAATTAGAATTGATTGTGATAACGAAGGGGAGAGAATATTTTGATTTTACTTTTTAATTGATAAAAAAAATTGTAATTGATTGTTTGTAAAATCAAGTGTTATATTCGTATTTATTTAAATTTTTTCGTATAATGTAGCATAAAGATTCTACTAAAACCAACCCAAAAAGATTGTTAAAACGTTTAATGTATAATCTAAAAACTAGATCAAACTTAAAACAAGATAGGTAGTATGTCTCCCTAGCTGGGATAGTCATCCTTCTTAATTATGTTTTTAATATCATTTCTATCTTTTTCTTATCTTTTCTAAAGATGTCTGTTAAGATTTGGAAGAAGATTGTGAAGATTCAGAGGAAATTTCTTTAGAGAATGGTGAAAAGGGAGTTTAAGATTATTGACTAGGTCAACTGAAATAATGTAAAAGGTGAATGGTTTACATACATCATTCCAGTATGGTATTTGGTGTGATATCCTTAAGGCCAGATATGGTGTTGCCTCTTTGAGCTCTATCCTGGGTGGGAGAGTCTGCCGCCTTAAATCGGCCTCGTCTTGGTGTAGAGGAATTTCCCTTCTAGGATCTACAGTTAATGATTCTACTGATTGGTTACGGGATGGACTCTCCTTAAAAGTTTGTTCTGGTCTCCTTACTCCCTTTTGGGAGGATATATGGGTATGGGACTCTGGCCTTCGCCATAGGTTCCCTCACCTTTTTCTTATTTCTGATCAGATCTCTAATTTTTCTAGAGAGGTCAGTAGATGGGAAGGGGTTAGTTAAATCTGGAATCTCAAGTGGAGGAGACATTTTATTTTTTATAATGAGTTGGATCTTTTTCGCGGTCTCCAGTCTTTAATTAGAGGTTTTACCCCATCCGTTGAGAGTGATGAGTGGATGTGGCGTAACTCGAGCGATGATGTTTATTATGTGTGTTCTACATACTCTTGTCTTTTGGCCTGAGTTTTTCCCCCAGGCCGTCAGCCCTCTCTTGGCGAGCTAGTTCTTCCGAACTTTTGGTGTAGTTGAGCCCCCTCTAAAGTTATAGTTTTATCTTGACAACTTCTTCAGGATCATATCCCAACCAGAGAAAACTTACTTAAGAGAGAAGTCTTATTAACATTTGGGACTCTCTGTTATTTCTGCTCACTACACCTTGAGTCCCCCTCTCATCTCTTTGTGACCTGTGAGGTTGCATCCTCTATTTGGTATATTATCTTCAGGTGGTTGGGGTGGATTGTTGTTTTTCCTAGTGATACTTTAGCCCTTTTTCAGATATTTATCCCTTCTCTTGGGGGTGCTAGGTCTAAAGGGGTATGAGGATGATTTTTCATGCCGTTGTTTGGTCAATTTAAAAAATTCATAATGATATTGTTTTTTGCGGGTCTTCTGATCGCGACTTTAGGAGTCTGTTGAAATATGTAATTGCAAGTAAACAGTCTCTCGCATAGTTTTGAAATATTATTGAACCCACAAATACTAATAATCAGACTAATGTTATATATCGTTGCTATGCAAAGCTAAGGAGAATGATTTCTATAATTTAATGGAATTACTAACGTAAAAATAAAAGATTTGGAAATAATGATAAAAACGAGGTTGGAATATGGATCTCGTGTTCCAAAGGGACTTCGGAGGAACGTGGTGCTAATTATGATTTAGTTGTATTATGTAGAAAGTATTGATTTAAAGACTTCGTCTCAGACTCTCGCGCTATCGACTAAAGCCACAACTTCTAACCACATGATTTTTCTCTCGCTCGCCTGTTTTAATCAGAAAGCATATTTTGAAAACTAATAAGATCCTAAATGATGCCTAAAGCACTATCGTTGTTTTTAGGATCGATGCCTAGTTTTCACTATCTGGTTTCTTCCTCACACTATCGCGCTATCGGCTTGAACCTTAGTTTGTTCTTCACTTTCGTGTCAAAACAATGAAACATACAATTGGAAACTAGAACCAAAATAGATTTTAAATCATAGTTTCGCGCCTATTTTTTCTACCGAGTCCCATCGATAACGACGGACCTCATACACTAGACTCTAAAATATTTAACAACACATTACTTTAAATGGAAATAACATGAACAAAGCAACCAACCTTAAAGGAGTCGTGGCATATATTATAGATTAGGCAATAACAGGAAATAACTTAAAGGAGTAAAAACCTAAGACTAAAGGAAATGTTAACTAAAATTAAAATGTCGGAAGGCTTGTTCTTGACCCAAGAGTACAATGAAAAGAAAAATAAAATAAGCATGACAATCCCTCGTTGTGAGTTATTGTCACTTTTGCAGGTAAATGAATGCTTAAGACTAAACTGCGATTTCAACAGCATTTTTGCACGACTTCGACACCCTTGAAGTATCCTGAGAGGTTCTGTATATAGATAATTAAGGCCTGGTAACTGTCCAGGTCGTGCATGCAGTTAGAGGGAAAAAAAGAATTAGACAGTTGAAAAATTGTTCCCACATAAAAAACTGCCTTCTGCAGCAAAATGGAAACCATTATTAGGGAAACGACGAACGCCATTGCCTTGATATATGAATGACATGGCAGGTTGGGCAGATGGAGAATTCCATATGTTCATGGAGAACGCCATATGAGCAGAATGATCCATTTCTTGCTCTTTTGCTGCTATTTCACTTCCTTTCTTGTATTCTCGCAAAGTCGCACTGTTATTAGTCAAAACCTATAAAACAATATAAAAACAACATCAAGGCGATAAAAACAAACTAAAATGACTATGAATAACATGCGTTGTAAGCCTAAAAACATGATACAGTTTCACATTATCAAACTCCCCCACACTTATACCATTGCTTGTCCTCAAGCAATCACCCAACGCAATGAAAATAATTAAGCACAACGTGTGAGACATAGGCATGATTAAGAATGGCGCGAGGTTTCTAGGCTAGTGCTAAATAGATAGGTACTAGATGTCGATAACAAGAATACCGTAATGGCACAAATCCACATTTTTCGGATAAAAACTCCCCCTATGAAAAACCAATCTGAATCACGCCATTATAACTCAACCTACACTCTTCGTTCTTTTTCACATCTTTTTCAGTCTAGCAAAATCACATTAAGCCTGTTATACGTACACACAGATAGTAAGGAAACTTTTTGGTGACTATGATCATTATTAGCATGGGGTTATGGTAACTAAAGCGATACACCCTTTTTTATATCCCATTGTGGGGGATCGGACTGTAGTCCGCCATACTGAGTCCAATACTAGAGACCTATGGATCAACTAACAATGGGTGTTATGATTATGTTTTTGTAGGTCAACAACTGTTGGGATGAATGATCGAGTGAGGGTCACCTAACTTAGAAGGCGTATTCCTTGCTTTTCAATTAATACATGCGTTAAGATTAATTAGTGATCATTCACTTATTTTTATCAGCTTCCTTACGTAGTTTGTGCTTAAGACGGTGCTGACTACTAATATAAAATACTTAAGAGGTTACTTCGAAACTTATAACTCAAGGTCTCGGCATATGATTACTCAAATTGGAGTCACATACTTAGGAGCTTAGGGTGTTAGGAAGGTACCTTTATTATCAAAACTTTCCCAAGTCTAAATAACACCGCCTAAAAATGAAAAAATAACCTATGCTCTCAGAATGTCATGCCATTAAATTGGAACAAGGTTTTATTTTCATTTTTGGGTTGAATCTAAGGGAGTTTTTAAAAAGAAAAAAAGTATCATGTAATATGACTCAAAAGCTCATGTATGACTCAATTAAACACAATGACAGTAAAACGAGATAAATAAAGAAACTAACTAGAAAAGCAGTAAAAGAAAATGAAAAATCAAGCGGGAAAAATAAAAAGTAAAGTGGTAAAGCTCCTCCCTCATACTTGAACCTAACATTGTCCCCATGTTTAAGTGCAAGGTGGAAAAAGGAGTAGATAAAACCTGGTAGGAGGCTCAATGATGTCGGCCTCGACCTCTGTGACTTCCATGACCGCCTCCACCGTACATAGGATTTGGTACATACTGTATAAGCTCTCTCACATCTGCCACTATCTTACGCAATCCTTTCATCTTCTCAATGAGGTCACCCATGTTATGCTCATTTATATCAACATAGTCAAGTTGATGATCTCTAATCTGGTCGATGGTGACTGTTGCACCCCAAAATTTTCCCTCTCATTTCTCAAAGAATCACCCTGGATCCTCAAGTTTGCTTCCATCCAATTCCAAGCCTTGAACTACAAATTTTCCAAGAAAATCACTCACAAGAGCAAAATGGTCATTTACACACTGAAAAGTCAAACTTTGACTTTTGGATCAAAATCAAGCTTCAAGAATCATATTTCATCAAGACACGTTGAAATACGAAATTTGTTTCATCAAGAAATCCAAAAAGTCAAAATTCTAAATACTTAGAACTTTCTAAGTGATTAAGAAAAT